ACCTCCAAAAACAGTATAGGACCAAAGACACAACCGTGTACTACACCGCTTGTGACTGCTGTTGGTTCAAATTTGTGTTCCCCAATTTGGACCATCTGCGTCCAGTGCCTAAGATACGATTTGAACCATGAAAGCAGGGATTCCCCGATTCCACACGACATCAATTTAGCTATTAGTTTTCCATGTGGCACTCGATCGAGAGCTTTGGGCATACCTAGGTAAATAACGGTTGCAGGCTTGCCATTATTTTGGGAGGCAGTTAGATGATGTAGAAATTCAAGTTGGCACATTATGCATGAACGAGCATTCAGAAAACCGTGCTGCTAGTCGTTGATTAACTTTCGAAACAGTATCGCTCCATCAATTTGGATGAGATTTATTGTGCGATAATTCTTTATTTTGTACAGGGAGCCTGATTTCTGTGTCGCGGTATGACGATGGCTTCTTTCCACTTTGCTGGTACAGTGCCAGAGTTCATGGATATGTTGAACATAGCTAATAGAAGCAAGGATATGTCGACACCCCCAAGTTTAATAAGTACACGAGGTGTATTATCTGTTCCCCCTAAGTAGGAGTTTTGTAGATTTTACAAGCTTTTGCGCGTCATGGAGTTCACACTGGACACGTGTGAGTTGGTATATCCAATCTTGGTGGGTCATTATCCACGTTAAAGTAGTCACATAAGTACTAAATTAAGATTTCACTGATGTGTGTTGGCTCAGTTAGTATATGGTTATCTGCCTTAACCTGTGAGATAGTGTCTTGATTTCGTTTGTTATTTCTATACTTCAAAATGTTGATTAGATCGCGGATTTTATGATGGCTGCATAGGGCTCTTTTTCATCAGCGATCTCTTTGTTAAGACATGCCAGTTGTGGAGCTTTGGTAAGCTTTTAATGTTGTGTCAAGAAGGAGAAGTCATTTGTTTTACGATATGCCGTTAGCAAATCATTGAGCTTTATGGTTGTTTTACGTGACATATGCGTTTTGTTTCTGTGCTGAAAGTGTCGATGCACAGTGGTAGCGAGTGCATCAATACATATATGAGTGTTGTTGTAGAGAACAACTGCAGCGGCTTGTGAGTCTTCAGTAAGGAAAAATTGTCCCATTGAGCAGATCTCATTCATTTGGCGAACAGACCCCAGTCGACAACTTTGTATTTCTTGGTATGCTCTGAAATTTGAACACAACCGATGTCTGTTATCGTGTAGGATCAATGGAGGAAAATGATACTACTCTGTGATCACTACCAGGAAAGTGCTCATAAACGTCGGTGAATGCTGATAATATGCCAGTGGTGAATGTTAGGTCTATGATTCTTTCTACTTGGAGATCTGATATGTTGGATCCATCTGTATGAGTGTAGGGAATAGACCAGATTCATGTATTTGGTATTTACATTGCTTGAGGTTCACGCTAGATCATGCATACTGTACTCTCCACCGATTACCTTATATTTGGCCAGTTGGTCTGCTATATGACAGAACAAATCTTGTAGGTTAACTTCTGACACTAGAATTGGGTGCATGTATATACATCCCAGGAGTAACATGTGGTCATCAACGTGTGTGCATTTACAAACAAGGAGTCTTCGAAGTAAGTATGTGAGGGAACATTGGCCGTTGATGCACACACGCCATTGTGAACGTATATGGCGCAACCACCTCCTTGCTTGGATTTACGACGACCAATGAAACTTTCTTAACCCCTTATGTGGTAGTTATGCTCAGGAGTATCTTCCATTAGCCACGTTTCTGTCACAATTATGTTTTGTGCATCAGCTAGTGTGATAACTGAGCGTAAGAAGTGAATTTTGTTTTTAATGGAGCGTGCACTAAGCAGCAGAATGCGGCTGGAAAACGATTGATGGGGAAAGTTCATTATTTGTTGAAACAGTACAGGGCCATCCACTGATGACGATGTTGTATCTGTTTTGTGTGACGGGAATCCGACGGGATCTGGTTCAGGATTATCGAAAGTATTTGAGCACGTATCTGTGGGCATGAAAGGTGAATACGGGGGTGGAGATGACGCTGCCGTTTCCACGGCTGGTAAGTTCGGGCGCAGGGACAATTTATCCCTTGTGAACTCTGGAATTACTTGCAGTAAGGGATTTGTTGAATCATTGGGTGCAACTTGGTATTGGGCCATCCTTACTATCTTGACACATTAACTAAAATATGGGACCATGTAGTTCTTTCGGTCGGATGTACCAGTGTTTGGAATGGCTGTGAGACTACTCCCACTTCCCCTACAAAATGGCTTTTTGAAATTGTTACTTCATGCTTGTCTTTGTGTGTATTGGGTGAGGTACAGGGCAGTGTTGACCAATTATTCCTGACATTATAATTTTTGACTATTTCGAATGTTTGCTGTAAGACAATACACAGGATTATTTAATGAGTAGCTTTTCTAGGCCCGCCCACTTTAGCGATACGATTAACGGTTCGGCGGCAATGGCATTTTTCAGAAGAATGTGTTTGATAGTCTTACATATGGGGATCTTTTGCCGGCATCGGTTGCTCTTTTGATTGATTCATCAGTCAGTGACAGCACTGCGTTCGCAGCAGTTCGTTGCTTACCTATAGATGTCTTGTGTTGCCCTGCCTGTCATTGTTCCGTTTATCGGGCCCTTACTCTGGGATCTTACTGTAAATCTGATATCACTGGTCGAAACAGTTATGGTAGTTCTTCTGTTTACCGGTTTTGTGATGGGATCAGGAGCATGGGCACTCAAAGTCGCCACCTCATTATGTGTTGTCATGGTCCAAGTACATACAGCTAGTATCTCCATCGGTTTGGTCTGCTTCCCGTGTATGTTTTCCCGAATCCGGGTTACACGATGTCTCTGCTTTTAGCGTTCGCGGTGCAGATGCAAGAAGAGACCTGTACAGGGTTGTCAGATTATGCTTAATCACCAAATCTTTGAATTGAGTATGTTGGGCTCTGGCGAATCGACACAGCATGAATCTGTCTGAAGATTCATCACTAGAAAATTTGAAAATTATCGAGCATCGCTCGGTGTTTGTTTTCCCAGACGTATACATTTGCACTTGACTTTGGACATGTTGCAAACATTCAGCAATGTCGTTTTTACTTTGTCTAAATTAACCGCATCAGAAATGTTGAGAACTGTAGCGTTTTTGAGTCTACGTCTTCGTTCATGGGCCTCGGATCCCACACAGGCAATGAGTTCTACTACTTTTTTCATTTGCATTGGATCCGGCTTCTTCGATGGGTTGTTGATGTATTTTAAGGCAACTAGGTAGTCCTAAAAGGGCAGGCAGTGTTTGTTTCAGTTAAGAAAGTTGCAGCTAAAGTGAACTAATATTATCATTCAGTTGTCTAGTGAGGCTGACATTGTTTCCATTGGGCATGCTCCGTCTCTTTTTTGCTTTATGTCTTTCTTGTTTTATTCGCGGAATGGAGTATACACAACCCTTAGCTTGTCGAGTACGGTTAGGCTTTGTTGAAGTCATAGTATCGCAATACCGTCTGGGTTGATACTTTTAAATGGTTATGGTAGTGCTCACAGCATCCGGGATGTGGTTATGGAAGGAAGTAGCTGACCACAGTGACAGGTAAATCCGAAACCGGATGCTGCTAATCAGCTTGTAAAGTTACAACCTATTAACCCATTTTCTATTGGCGTCCTTTTTAAAGGACACCTCTTAAAATGTGATTTAAGCACCAAACTAATTAAGGTAAACATGGATAGGGTAAAATGACTTCAAATATTATAGATTAGTGTCTTTTCTGAAAGTGCAGTCACAAAAATTATAAAGACTGCGTTAATTCAAGAGCTTAAATCACTTTTTTAAATTGCCTCTATAACACGCCAGCAGAAAGTGGGTTAAATCTGAGCTTGAATATGGAACAATGAGTAGAGAGAGAGAGAGAACCGAAAATCGAATGTTTAGTCGAAGCAGAGGAATTACGGGTGCGGACGAAAAGTGCTCACCATTTTTTGTTATCTGCCTTCTGCTGTGTTCATTCACGTCCAACAGATTGTCACGCGACCTGATGGGTTTGCCCGTGGCCTTTGCATCAAGTCAGATCTCAGTCCTTGACGGAACAATGTGGGTGATGAGAGTTGAACTATTCGTGAAGCGCAACTCGTTGGGGTCAGGATAGTTTGTTCTTGCATGTTGTCTGGCGGATACCGGTCCTGCGATTGCCCGATAAGTGTGGGTCCGTCGGTGTTTTCGGATCAGGTGCACTGTGCAACCACAAAGTCCAATGTGAACAACAAGATGAATCATGAGTGCACACCGGAGCCTTGCACGCGTGCTTATCCATCTGGTCACTGAATGCGAGACCAGGATGGGTTTCAAGTTGAGTTGTTCAGTCGGGCTGCAAACAATGCATCAGTGACCGCATGAGTAGTGACAAATATCCCAATGTCTTGTACCACAGCCCAGTGAGATGAATGTGGGATTATTTTAGGGTCCTCAGAGTTATCTTACAAATGAGGCTAAACTTAGCCTTATCGAGTTTGAAGTGGTGCATTTGTATCCTTAACTTTGACTATGTTCGATGGTTACACAGTTCGATGGTTTGCAGTTTTCACAAAAACCGTAAGGTATCCCTCCAAATTTTATCCAGCCGTGGATGGAGCACACAAAGAGGAATCCAACGGTTTAATAATTCACGCTTAGTAGCGACTGCATATAGAAAATACAACGAATGTCAAAGCTCGGGTTTTGTGTCTGTCGTACACGCATATACCTCATTTTCATTTATCCTTGTTGCTGGACAGAAACCGAAGCCCCTCTGCGAGTCCCAAGAAGCCACGGTGGAAGTCGGGTTGGCTACGGAGCTACCTTTGTATAAAACGGTACCCGACGGAAACAGCACGGCCCCTATGATGGACCTCGATGATGAGGATGAAGACTTTGCCGATAACGTGGACTCAATCCGTGAGTTTACCACTTCTGACATGGGTGATACACAAGAGGATTCTGTGCCTCGTCTCTTGACTGAGACGATCGAGCGCCGGAGTCCCTCAGGCTTGCCCCCACTTCTTAGTCGATTGTGTGAACGTCCACCGGAAACGTTGCATTACATTGGTGTTTCCTTTGGGGCAACTCCTGATCTTGTACGATTCTGGAAGCGTACCGGATATATTCCGGTCTACCTCCGTCAGACCCTAGTAAGTTTGTTCTCATCACTTACTTACCCTTGTACTTAACGAAAATTGTTGCATTCTTTATAATCTTACGTTTTTGAACCATGTTTCTCTTCAGAATGAACTCACTGGTGAGTTCAGTTGCATCATGCTCAAACAACTACAAGATCAAATTTCATTATCGCATAAATCGACGGATTGGCTACTCACTTATCATCGAGGTGCGTTCATTGTTTTATTTCGTTATACTTCTGTGATATTTTTAGTACTACACTGCTTGCATCTGAATTTTCCACACAACTGTAGTGAAGACAACTGTTGTCATTTACAGCTGAGCAAACAGTGACTGGTTTCCTCTCTATTTCGATTTCCCAGGCTGAAATACCACCGCTTGGAAAGAGCCAATGGCTTTTTCCTGACAACTGAACACTATCCGCTTAGCTTTCGTTCGTACCCCGTTGTGCGATTTCTGTGCCTGCGATGGGGTGGTTTTAGGTTGGGCCTCTGCTTTTTTCCGGAAGTACCAAGCTATTGTTCGGACTTTTTCGGTCCAGTAACCCAGGATACACTCCTGTCATTATAACAGCTGTAGAAATAAACGGCGAATCCTATATCAATCACATCACCTAGGATGAACAATTCAGCTGACCCTATGCCTCTGAGCTGTTAGCTCGGTAACTTTAACCCAACTGCTACCTTTGTTTAGCACAACTCGTGACCGACGAGTTCCGACGGATGCTTGTGCTAAGTAGGCAAAGCAAGTCACTTGGCTATGCAGATTTTCAACGATTGTTGCTCAAGAATGGCAGTGGCTTATTTTGTCTGTTCAGCGAAAAGGTGCCTTCTAATCAGCTATTTTCAGCCGTCACTCAAAAGTAAGTCGTTCGCACCATCGCTTCCCTATCTATACATGTTTCTTAAATATTTTACTCGTCTCTTGACGTCCGCGTTTCGTTTGGTTGCCGTCTGTCAAACACGATACAGTTCTCTTCGTATCGGACGCATCTGACATGAAAGCGCTAGTGTATGGACTGATGCGTGACACTGCGTGCTTTGACATGCTATGTTACCGCAGGAATGGACCGGTATAGCAGTCTTCACAGTTATGGAACAATTTCTCGAAGTAGCCAATCGGATTACCTCTGTGGGTAGGAGTATCAGCTCTATCACTCACATCGTCGAAGAGCTTACTGCATGAATCACCAAGGTTCATGTATGGCTTTTATGCTTCAGCACGTTTTGATGTAATATTACTGTGTCGCAGGTTGTCGGTTCACAATGATGTCTTGTAGTTTTGATGCGGCTTGTGTTTTCGGTGTTCGTATGGAGCACCGTATTGATGGTGGGTTGCTGAACATCTGTCATTTCGGTGTGAGAACCCTAGTCTGTGAGACAACTATCCGTATGTTGCTGTTGGCTGACGACTGTGCGTTGTTTGCACACAGCGCGGATGACTTCGACAGCGGCCAAAATTCGGGTTCACCATCAACACAAACAAAACTGTCTCTTTCAGCCTTCACCGGAGGTGCAGTCTTCAATATTGCCGCGAATCAGCATTGTTGCTGAAGTATTAGAAACCACCTCCCGCTTCTGCTACCTTGTGAGTGTGATGTCGACTGATCAGCAGCTACACAGTGCGCTGCGCTTTCGCGTCTCGAAGGCAGTGGCAGCATTCGGGAAGCTAGAGTACTGAGTGTGGAACAACTAGCTTACCGTTGGCACGAAGCTGGTGGCGTACAAATCCATGCTACTGTCCGTTCTTCTATACAGCAGTGAAACATGGACGATATACCGGCGGGATTTGTGATATCTCGAGCGGTTCCATCAACAGTGTTTACGACGGTTTCTGCGCATCGGTTGGTGCGACAAAGTTGCAGACACGGATGTGTTGCGCCGAAATGGAATGTATGCAGTGGAATGCATACTTTTGCTGAGACAACTGAGGTGGCTCGGTCATGTGTGGCGTATGGATTTGATGCGGATACCGAAGCAGATGTTACCTGATCAGCTGAGTGTTGGGAAGCGGCATGCGGGGAAACAGAAGCTTCGTTACCAGGACATGGTCAAAGTGAGCCTCCCACGTTCTAATCTTGATTGCAAGTCATAGGAATCGAAGGCGGTTGATCGGCGTGCGTCGCGCGATCTGATCACGAAGGCAGTTGCCGAGGTGCAGGAGAAAGACCTCATGTATGCGGAGATTGCGGATGCGGCAGGCGCCGATGGATTGTACTTCATCGACATCGAGCGCATGGTGCTGTAGCACATACCGTCGCGAGTGCCTGAGTCAGGCAGGCCTAGTGACCCATGAGGGAGGCCACACGGGGCCAACTCTGAAACGACAACGGGTCCTGCAGAGAACGTAGGCAGAAGCGGCGCAGCGTTTGTAGCTACGCTGCATTCGATTTACTAACCGCTTGCTTGCATGCTGGGTCTTTAGTTCCGGTGGTGGGTTTGCTATATTGTCTCATTAGTGTCTAAATGAACTATCTTGAAGTAAATTGCACACGTCGCTCAATTTAATTGTAGGTAACTTTGATAACATTTCCGCGTTCTTGGCATTTTCTTAAAATATATTTTCTGACGTCTTGAAACTATAGCGGATTTTTTGGTAGCCAATTTATTTCATATCCTCATATGTTGTGCCCATGCTGAGACTGACGTTTCATTCATGATGCTTCCCCACCGCAGTTGGGCTAAACCAACTTACCCATAAACTAGGTCTATTTAACCTGGATAAATTTCATCCCACTTTATTTGCTTTGTTCCGCCCACCTGAATGATCTATTAACTTGCACACGTTGCTTACGCCATTTGCGCTTATCTTCGTTGACTTTATTGCGTCTGTAGCAATTTTTTGAGTACCTTCTGGACACATTGCACTTATAGCGGATTCATTGCTAACCAACTTACTCCATATGCTAATTTAGCGAAGAGTTAAGTCTGCTTAGCCGGATGCTTTAACAGATATATTTTGTTTGATAATGTTATTTGAAGTGACTGGCTGTGGCTCGATATCTCTGGGGTGCACGGTCCTTGTGACAGTGTTAAGCTCGAAGAGTGTCTCCATGTACTCATTGTGGAGCGGACTACAGTCCAGCCACCGCCTTGTGTGCGCTTGATTCCCAAATTCGGCGTGCTTGTGTTTTCCTGTGAAGGAGTGTGGGCCGGCATCGTTGATGAAACATGGCTACCATCCACCTGCTTCCCGGTCTTATTCTTTCGGGTTTACACTGGATATGGGGTGTGTGGATGGAGCTGTGGGTGGTGCAGCACAAGACACCCATGGTTCCTCTGTTGGTGCAGGTGTCCTGTGGCTGGCCACATTGACAAGCAAATCGGAAACCGGATGCCGCCAACCATGGGGCGGTCCAGTCGGCTGTCCGGAGTGGTCCCATTTCCAGTCATGCGTTTTGAAATTCCAACGTTCGTAGTGCCACTTGATATCAACCTGACTTGATCGCGAGAAACTGTCGGTAGTTGTTCGATTTAGCTGTCACTTAGGCACCTTTTCACTGTCGTGCTTGTAGTTCCTAAAGTTACTACACGTACTCCGAGACCTAGTACTGATTTTGTGACTGCACATAATCTCTTTCTACTGGATGGGATTCTATTCCCCTCTGCTGGAGTTTTTATCCAGGCATCCCATTCTCTTCTGGTAGTAGACCACGGTTGTGTACAGAGTTTGACATCAACATACCTACTGAAATGCTGCTCACGGGCGGCGATGATCACGTCAGTTACTTCGATCACCAAGTAAGAATGAATAGTCTGCATCGATTTTGGTATTCGTTACCTAATCCCGATTACCATCTATTAAGGACGAGTTGCTTTGCTTGCCTGATCTTGGGAGGTATGGACTCCTGTTGGATCAATCGTTTACTTGTCGACTGGGAATGATGGACTATATGATCACTAAACCGGGTGCTGTTTGCGCTTTTCGCCTTTCACGCTGGGTTCTGCTTGACGCACATTTCGCTTGGCTCCAAAATTTTTGGGACGTGGTTAGCGACCGGTACCAGTTGCTCGTTTGCTGCTATCCCCTTGTCGGGGTGACTGTTAATCATATATGTTGGATGAGGTTTGTCTGTAACTCGTGGCAGTGAAAGTCGCAGGGAAGATATCTCACTGATTCAGACGTATTCTCACATAATAGCCACCTGCTGGTGACCGTGTGATGTTGGCCATATGTTACCACCTTGGACATTTCGTTGATGTATGTCCTACTTCAGTTCTCCCTTCTTTCTTTCAATAGTGGGATACTTAATTTTATGGGATCGAAGCATCATTAAAAGTTCCTACCTAGATTTTAAACACTGATTATTTTCTTTACGTGTCGTTTGCCCATTCCACCTCCCCTTCCTATGTCCACAAAATCGACCCAGGGTTTTTCCTAGGCATGGATGTTGTTATCTCATAATATAACTTTCTGAACACATTTATCTGGTCTACTCTAAAGTACTTCTCGTTTCCCACCCTGATAAAAACTTCTCACGAATGGGTTAGTTTCCGGATCGAAGTCACTGTATTAGCCATTCTGGGAAAGGAATTGCTTAGACGACTAGCCATTCTATTCACCCTGCTGCGATTAACTGTCGCACTAGCATCAGGTGTTCTTTTTTGATTCCGACTTCGTCCCTTCTGACTGCACCATATGTCCGTTTCGCGCAGTTCACTTATCTCACACTTTAACGACGTGTCATTCAGTCCAAACTTAAAAGAATCCGAGTGACACCGGAGTACCGTTACACTATGTATCAACCGAAGGAACCTGATGGATCGTCCAGTGTTTGTGTTACCCATTTTGCACTACTTAGCTGTGCTTTTCTAGTCATAACAACAAACACAACAGTCGAAACTGCCCACATAGTTTGTCGCAGGTAATGTCACATGTGCATTGAAGGTCAAATCCTAACCCACTCAGTTGGATAAACAACACACATAAACGTACGCACACACCAAGCTTATCGTTTGGCACTGAATGCATGTTCTCTCAGTTATAAATCACAGTGTCCTGTCCAGACTTATTCTCGATACCCTGGGTTCTGAGCCCTATAGAGCATACGCTCTCGTACGTTTACTTGATGTGACTAATACACATCAATTGGCGACGACTTTTACCATGGCAATTGTGAATGCACCCACGCAGTTCTGGTTATGCGCTACAGAAAAACCATCTATGGCCAGTTGGAATAGTTGACGGAAAACTGAATACCTGGAATTACTTCCAATCTTGAATCCGTTAGTCTTACTTACAGAGAAACACAACGTCAAACTACCGACAATTCCCGGTTAATGAAGGCCAGCGATACTTCGATGCTCTCCTGATTGACGACGTCTGGGTAATCCTAACCAGTGCGTTGGATACGTTCAATGCCCTCTGGTGTGTTCGACAAAGCGTGTTTACAGCTAACTGCTATTTTTCCAGACTGTCATAACCCGGAAGAAAGTGTAAATGGGTTCATCGCTCGTATACATCAGGCTACCCCAGACTGCAATGCAATGAAGTTGATCTGGCGAAATTCGAAGAAACAATGCCTGATGGTTGGCATTTCAGATCAGAATACCCGGATAAAACTCTCACAGGATGACAGTACGATTAATTGGCTTGTTCAATATCCCGTCAAAGAGAGAATCTAAAGCAACAACTATCCTCATTTACTCCGCCGGCTCCATCTGGGAGCGTACAATTTGTGAAGATAACTTAACAGCCAACAAGGACGTCCGTGAACGTAAAACCGTTTATATGCTACCGATGTGGTGATCAACACGGATGCGCATCTGAATGTCGACACCAGGAAACAGTGTGCCGAAGTAGTGGGAAGGTAACTCATTTGGCACGAGTATGCAGGTCAGTCAAGGTGCATCGGGAACCGCATAAACTACGAACAAAAGCAATCAAAGCGGTTGATTAGGATGAAGAGAACGAATCCGAAGTACATTCGGTGTGGCTGAATACTGTGTCCAATCTACATTCCGCGCTATACACTGTGGAGTTCCACATCCAAGGACATGGATGGAGATTGATACGGGAGCATCGGCGACAATAATTAGGGCGAACTTTGTGAAGCACCTACACCCTGTCATCAAGCACTTCCAACTTTCGGACGTACACAAGCGAACCGAAATATTTTGGAAACGCATTATGCAAACACTAAACGACTTACCGAGGGCATTATGTGTATAACAGAAGACGTGCTAGTTTTCGGAGTTACTGGAGAAGAGCATGACTGCAATGTATACAGATTGCTATAGTGCTGTGCAATCAGGGAAAGTAAACTGAAACGTGAAAAGCTTGAGTTGCGTAAAACGAAGCGGTTTTTCACGGACACGTTTTAAGTTCAAAAAGGGGGGCTGAAGACAGATCCAAAGAAAGTCAGAGCCATAAAAGAAATGCTACCCCGATAGCTGTGTGAAGGCTATGAGCAGGCTGAACGGGAGGGTGAACTATCTCAGCCGTTTTTTACTCGGACTAGCTGAAGTAATGATTCCTATGCGGAAACTGACACATACAGGCGAAAGTTGGCAGTGGACCGTAGAGCAAGAGAAAGCTTTCCAAAAGGTTAAACAGCTGATCACTAGCGTCCCTATCCTAACGTACCATGATCCATTACTTTCCTTGATATCCATTGTGACAGTAGCGGGTTCGGCATCGGTGCCGTGCCAATGCACAACGGAAAGCCTATTGATTTCCGCAGCCGAACGCTAACGGAGTCCGAACGTCGTTATAGTCAAATCGAAAAGGAAAGTATCGCGCTGATGTATGCTGTGAAGCGTGGTACTGAATAGACATTCGGCCGCCGAACTGTTTACCGAATTTACTGACCACAAACTGTTGGTATCCACAGCCAACAAAACACTCCACGCCGTTCCGCGTCGCCTGCGGCAGACGATCATTAGTCTCCAGAAGTACTACCCGGAAATCGTCTATCAACCAGAATCAAAGATTCCCATTAGAGCTACGCTATCAAGAGCATATCTTCTGGATGTGATTGTAACGCAAGAAGACCAAGACCTTGTTCATGCTACGCAGGTGGTTTCTGTCACAGAGGAGCATTTCCAGTAACTACTACACCACACGGGAGCAGACAAACATCGGCAGTCCTTCTCCACAAACACGTGCAGCGAGTAGTCTCTTAATTGGCATACACGGCATCATGTAACCATCATTTCGTTTGATATACACCTGCGTTTTCCTGAGAGACTGAGAGACATTGTCAGCTTTTCATGTTACACCGTCACGGTCACTGTTAAACAAATTAGACAACGTGCACCCCACTTGGTTCCTGCAATTGCTATCAAGACTGTGACGAGAATAGTCTGTCAACGACAGCTTTTCCGGACTCATTTATGCAGAAGTGGCATCTCATATTTTCACCGTCTAATTGTTAAGAATTCTTAATTTGCTAAGGTGGTTTATGTGAAGGTAACATTCAGTCAACAACAGCGTTGTCACTAACCCTTTTATCATTTGCTGGGATAACATTAAGCAACTGTCGAAGCGCCACCAACATTTGAACACGGTAGCCAATGCATTATGCACTGCTGTCGAGATGTTGCAAACCACCAGCCAAAAACGTCGGCAGCAACCCAAGCTGAACTAACCGGTGTCGAAATCGCCGGGGGTAATTAACATATTTCAAGGACACATGCACCGATATGCGTCCTCACGTCGTATTCACACCCCCAGACATGCGTGGGTGAGTAAATACAGTAGATTTACATGCCATTGGTGGGTCGGCAAATTAGTGCGCTCCAATCTCATCCTGACCTGCGCGGCTGATGTACGGCGACGGAGCAAAATCGAAAGAAAGAAAGAAAGAAGAAAGGTGTCAGCTTATACGCCGTAACGGCGCTTCGCTGTCGCGCGACCACCACCAGTCGCGCGCGGGCTGAGTATACCGCGAGGACGCCCACCCCTACGCGGAGTCGAACCGGTGACCTTATGGTTGCAAAGCAAACGTGCAGACCATTCGGCCACCGGTCGACAAATCGAAAGACTCTTATCAAACGTACGGTAGTTGTCCTTTCCCATCATGGAAAGTTTAGCATGGCCTTTAACGCTTATGTCACGGAAAACCACGCGCCACTCTTACTAAACCTCTCCTCGGGAACTAGTTCTTTCAACAGGTAGGTTTCATCTTGTCATTGTTGCGTGTGTTCTGAGAACTCTCAGTTCATTGTGTTAACTTGGTCCTACGTGAAGTTGCTTTTGTCCGCCATGAATTAAAGCTCACCGGTCGTATCCAGCTTCATCTGCCGGATCTGGCCTGACGCCATATCTGGACAGTGATCCAAAGCGGCTTCGTTTAGCTCGGCAGTTACCAAGCCATTCCTTGATTCTGTACACCAAATCCAGACAGTCGCAGCATTTGCAAGTCCACAACTGTGACATGTGTCGGCGATTCAAATCGACAACTCACTGAACTGTCCCTTACATTTTTAGAACTCTCCGTATCCTCTCATGTATTCACTCATTTCTTTTTATAGGTCATCAGCGTCAAGATATATTGTTTCCAGCATGCTCAGCATCAGTATTTTACGTGAACATGGCTAATCGATAGACTATCGCCTAGGTGACCTGATAACTCAGTATCGCAAAATCCATCCTCCTCATTATCCCGTTGTCACGGCATCTCCATCTCCAGCGACGTAAGCGCTGCAGTCGCTGAGTAAATACTTGACTGTGGAAACTTGCTAGTCAACTTCGGGTATCAGTTCTCACTCTAGGCCATTATTAATATCTGATTGTTGTAGATCAACTACCCATTTGTCCTCTTCCATCGTATTCACAGATTCAGCGCATTTGTTTAATGATTCCTAACTCTCCGCTCCGAGTTATCAGTTTGCTTTCTTTGACCCACGCTCCCTATAATGAGGGCCGAAAATTACATTCGGTGATAAATTTAATAGCCAAACGGTTGGGCCACGAAGTCATTATTATTCACTGTGTGAATGAGTTAAGTGTAGTTTTCGCTTTTCTTCGTGATTACTAACCCGATGATGTTAGCTCCCTTTTTCGACTCTCCTCTCTATTCTTGTATGCAGCCTCGCACAATTAACTGTCAGTTTCATTCCACATGCGTCTCTGTTTGGTCATTGGCCCATCACTTTTTCGACTAAAAAACTCTTCATCTCATTTAAGTATTCATGGAAGTTTACTAACCGTTGATCGACGTAAACATGCATTTATCTCTTTGAAAACAATCATAATTCTCAGAGATTGCTGTTTTCCTAATGGTCACATCTGCGTGAACCAAATATTCTGGAGTATTGCAGGCGCTGAACCCTCAACTTTTACGCTTGAATCCAATCTGATCTCTACTAGATTTCACTCAACGGTTCATGCATCTGCTTCCTGGCTGTTTCCGACACTTGGATGCTGCCTACGCGTTGGAGTTGTTGCAGCATAAGATGACACGACATGTATTCAGCGAAGGTGAGACACCTATTCAATTTTTGGACTCTGATGTGGCACAGTGCTGGTTATTCCTTTCCATTTGTACGCTAGCTGGTTTTCCTTATGAACAACTTATTTGGATCGGTTAGAACCTCACAATGACATATTTTCACGCATCCAACATCAGGCAGCGTTTTGCCACTCTCCTCCTCATCACACTGGTTCGCCTCACTCACCCTGCTCAAAAGCGCTCAAGCGCAACCCGTGTATTAGTTTGTCCACCGTTACCTCACTTCCATCGATCTGGCTTCGCTTGCTGCGAATGTTGGCAAGGTGCTCGTTTGTCATATATCACCACCTCGATTGATGTATACGTATAGCATGCACGTTTTCTCAATTCCACATAAATTATATGCATGTTGAAAAAGCGTGGGCCGGCTCCGTGGAAGAAACGTGGCTCCCACCCACATGCCTCCTAGTCTTATTGCTCTGGCTTTACACTGAATGTAGGGTATGCGGATGGAGCTGTGGGTGGTGTAGCGCAAGCCACATATGGTCCCCCAGTAGACGCAGATGTCCTGTGACTGTCCGCAGTCGCAGATATATACAAATCTGGAAACGGATGTCACCAGCAATACGCAACAGTACCGTCAGACTAATTGCCTCCCGAGAGATAACTACATCACTACGTAGTTTGCAAATCACCTCGTCACATTTTACTGCTTTTTTAATAACTTTCGCCCTAATTTTTCTTACGCAATTTGGTGGACTTTTCTGGCATCTAGGCCCAGTTTGGAGCTGAAAGCCTCCATTCAGCAGACCTGTTCGAGGGTTTCAGGAATATCAATCCACATCTTGATTAGACTTTCTACTGCGAGTAGGTAGTGCATGCTGATGGCTGCTTCTACGATTTATCTTATGTTTTCTGTAACACGGTTTTGATCGTGGGGCTTCCCTCTTTTCATAGGATGACTCGAAGAACTCACCGCATTGTTTATCTTACATTTAATGTGTCCATATTCTCGCTTGTATTCGCCTGCTCTTTTCATATTTGCCTTAGAGTTGACTGCATCTGAACTACGAACCTTGTTCACCCCAATTGATTTGGATCGACTTCACAACTACGTTCGCTCCATAGTGGACTTTCAGGTTGTCAGCGATCTACTTCCTCGTTTGGCCGGTTTGTACTTTGACAAGCGTTTGCCAAGTGTACGAATAAACAAGACACAACAGGTTCGTGGTATATCCCGGTTCGGTGCATTGAATTACTCTGTTCTTGTGTTTCCATTCCCTGGTTTGTGGATCGTCCGCATCCCATTAATTTTCCTGCTGTATTTTCCGTTCGTGTTGTCTTCTTGTCCAACAAAGTCTCCATCGATTCATAAAACTGCTTATAATATTTGCTTTCAGAAGGGTTTGAAAACAATCGGTTGATATATTGGATGAGTAACGTTTCGCTTTTGACACTGGCTTCATCGAGATATGGAATGCTTGGAATTTGAAAATCCTTCCATTACCAACCTAAGGGATATGTTAAGCTTGTGCTTTTTTACCCGTCATAAACCATTGTTTCATTGTACATTTGGGTCCCGTATTGCTTACTCTGTATTTAGATTGCAACCTGCAATTTTAGTTTGAATGCCAACGTCCTTTATTTCAGTTGTTGCGTTGTTTGCTGGAGATAGGCAATTAGTTTGCACACCTTTCGTCACCGGTCGAAGTGGCATCATCAGTGCGTATGGTTAAGCGGTTTCGTAGCAGAAGCTAGTGAAAGGCAAATCCGTTTATATACAGATCTGGCCAGCTACTTCTCCATGTAGACTTTTGGGGTCCTACAGTTTCACTTGTTCACTTGGTTAATCATTGTACCTCGCATATGTGCCTGGGCAATTTCCATAAGTTGCATATGTGTTGTTGCGACGTGGATGAAATTCTTGCACTTGGATGGCTGCCAAAGGTATAGCGACAGTATTCTGGTTCACATAGAGTATCCTGCACATTGGCTATATGTCCCACTTTCGAGCTGTGGTTTTTATTCCTCCAGAGCTCTTCCTTTCTTAGTGGTTTGTGTACGGGATCACTGTCGATGCGCAAGTTGATTGAATTGTTCGTGGAGCACCAAACCCCGAGGAATTCCCCTCCATTTTGGTGTGTGGGCCAGGATCTCTTTCTTGTTCCAGTCTTCATCCATGTGTGCTGAGAATTGCGAGGTTGCATATCCTTTTCGCGTGCTCTTTTGTGTTGCTATATCTTTGTTGATAATTTTCCGTTTGTTCACTGTTCCTGCGATTCTTGTTCTTTTGGTTTTATATTCCCAATATTTTGACTAGCTTGTGGGTCACCACCATATTGTGTTGTTTAAAAAATATGTTGTTATTTCAGATATATCCTTCGTGTACGGCATGACGTTCCGCTTCCCTTTCGTTTGCTTCGGCCTGGTGTTTGTGAGCTTGCGATTTAAACATCTACTGATGAAAGATTATGTATATCCGTTGCGTTCGAGTGTTTTTGCGGGGAGCTTCTTCACCGCTTGTTTATTTTGTTGCAAACAATTAAACGCACTGTTTTCCAAGCCATCCATGCACTATCGGCGGTGTGGATCATGTTCTCAGTTTCACCGATTCGATTCACAAACAGTTGCATGAGCTCGCCAGTATTTGTCATTTCGCCCTATCGCACAATGGCTTGCTATCATTTGGCTCTTGTTGCGGGAGGCTAGTTCGACTAACATTTGCACACTGTTATCGTGCACCACCAAGACACTGCTATTCTGGTCACAGGTGAATCGGGAGGCGCTAAACCGATAACCAAGGCTCGTTACCCAAGGGTACGGGAAAAGTGTAAACAGAAGGAGCAGTCGATATCTTTTAATCTGCGAAAATAGCGCAAATGTCACCATGCAATGATGTTAATTTGTGCGACCAGATCGCTTCCTGCTGGTTTTCACTAGGTTAAGTTGCGAGAAGAGCATGTGTCATATTTTCGGTAGCGTGTGAAATGACGGAATCTGTGGTTACAGTCGCGAAGATGCGTCCCACCGATGCATATTGTTTCACCTTCCCACTCTTAGTATCTTCGGTCGAAAAGTCTTAACATTATTCGATACCTTGGCGGGATATTCCCATGACTCATCGGTCTTTTCGAGTATGATTAAGTGTGATATGTATGGGAATATTGTTTTCCTACTTAATGGTTTCAGTCGCTAATTCAGCGACTTTCTCCCAAATTACCGTGACCATCATCTGCTTAAGTAACCGCGCTTAGTTCAGTTCACTGAATTGAATGTGTCATGCTGCTAGGCTGACGTACCAAAGGGGATACTTTTTAGTGTGCAACCAGTTTCAGTCTCCACTACCACAAGTAGCATCATCTTTGGCTCTCAGGGTGTTCGGAAGGTAGCAAAATCTTCCACGGAAACTCACTACTTCAGTGGGTGAAGACACCGGGCAGTTTGACGGAAATCCAGATCCTTCGCGGGTCGCATGCACTTTCCTCGCTGTTGGTCGTATTGCTTCAACACTGACAGTTGATCTACCTGTTACGGAAGTCTAACGTTCCTGAGTTAAGCTATGAACATGTGTTTAGTTTTTGACTGTTTGTACCTTTTCGGTAGCTGCTCCTTCAATATGCTCTTGCGTCAAGATTGTCTTTTGCTTTTTGGCTAGAATTGGGAGCTCGCGAAAGTGATCCATTCAGCCGGAGTCGCATAGAAGATATCTAGCCTAGGCTGTGTTTCGTTCGCCTCGGGGAGTGGAGTAAATGTCTGAAAGGCGTGTCACACTCCACATACAGGTTGTTCTTGTTAAATTAGTACAAAGTATTGCAAACCTATCACAATTGCCTCTATGACAACCATGCTGCTGCTCTTAATCTTTCTGATTTAGGCCTGAACACGATAGTTCAAGTTTTTGGGTCGGGGCCCATGTAATAGAGCGGTTCTTTCTGTTCAGTTCCTCAGCACAGGCTTCAATTATTACACATTTTCTCCTCAAATGTTCTTGACGCGCACAGATGAACATCACGTGGTACAGCTCACGTAACCAAGTTATTTAGACATATCTTCTTTATCTTGTCCTCTTTATCTTTGTCACCAATATAATTATGTTGTCTTTCTATATAGATCATTCTTCTTGGTTTGGGCCTCCAACACAAGAGTGTGGAACGACTTGCGTCTGAATTCGCCACTCTTCTAGGTTCTGGCTCTGATACCGCCCTCGAGAAACGGCACAGGCTCCCCGGTATTAATGTCCCTCTACTACAAACGGAAAAAGTCAAACCCATCTCAGGCGGATTGGCCTCCTTCGAAATGGGTGGGAAGCTGAATAAGCCGGGTGTCAGTAACACTACTGGCTGGGCAAAGCGAGTCAGAGGCTTATTGTTTGTGGTCGTCCGAGAACTAGTGCAATCTTTGGATGCAATTGTTGGTACGAAAACCTCCCCATGCAGTGACTCTGCTCTGGTTCTCCCACCTAATCTGGTGGCATCCTCGGTGAGCTGGTAACAGTGGCTGTTTGTTATTGTTGTGGCTCCCCTGTTCCCACATCAAGCAACAATTCATCCTCATGCTGCATCCAATCTCATAAATATTCTTTAGCTAATTATGCTTTCGTGTACGCTTCTTTTCTTTTCAGTTTTGCCTAGCCCCATGCCCTCAAGAGAGCCGGGAAAATTGTAACTTGTGAATCACTGATGAATTAATGTGTTCACTTCAAATATGCTGGCTTAGATCTTGACTATCAGCGTTAATATCGATCTACGCTGGATCATTGCACTGATTACAGTTGCTTATGCTAATTTATAGATACATTTTTAATTACACAGGTTTTCTTTGACATTCCACTATTCTATATAAAATAAATACTGACAATCAAAGTGATTTCCCCATTACGGAGAGGAAATCGTAATTGAAGTATCTGGGCGGAAGTGAAAGATACATCTATATGATCATCCAACTAACTCGTATTCTTTCCATCAATTGGTTCCCCAAGACCCTGTACTGGTGCCCAGTTTGTTCCTGACCCACATCGACGAAGTACTTCAGCTTCTTCGGCCACCGTGTTCCTTGTTTTCAGACGACCTGAAGATTTGGAGAGTAACTGATACTACCGACGGCTGCTACGTACTTGAGCATGACAACGGTTCGCAGATGTCGATCTACTGGTCAGCCCAGTCAAGTTTACTTGCCTTGGCAAGGATGGTGATGGGCGTACGTACACTCTGTCCGGCCAACGGCTGCATCCCACACTTACCGTGAATGAACGCTGCGATTTTCAGTCATTGAACGGCACGAACAGTCACACCGAGGCGGTCTGCGCATACTTTGGGCGCTCAAACGCAGCTCTTGCATTTGGTCTGAATATATTGTCACGCTCCTATTCTCTTCCATCATAAGACCGATGTTCGAATACGGATCACTCGACTAGTATCCGGTCACCCGTTTCGACTTGCAAACCTGGAAGGCGTTCACGATGTGGCTACCAGGCTCATCCTCAGTTTACGGGGTATATCGTGCGAAGACCGATGCAGGATATGGGGGCTGTTCACCCTGTCCTATTGTCGGTTTCGAGTGGACCACATAATGACTCACTGGATGTTACATCTAAGTGACTTTCCAATGCTGAGGCCGCTGTTTCATGTGCGCACCTCAAGTAGCACCCGCAGGCGCCGGTACAAGCTAGTGGTATCAGGCCTGAAGCAGATAGCTCACTCTCCATGCTTCTCTCCTCGAATGGTGAAATAGTAGAACAGTTTGCCTCAGATAATAATCGAGGTGAAATCGGTGTCAGGACTCGAGAAGTTCCTGGACGCCCAGTTTCAGATTTCGGGAGTGCATCGCGCCTGAATAGGACGTCGCGCAGCCGAACTGCGTTGAAAGTGCGTGCCGGTTAGTATATCCATGAAGCAGCACAGATATACATCTTCATTTTTCAGTGTTCAGAATAACGTAGTCCTGGCTTCCCATATACCTATCGGTCTTCGACTTTAAGAGAATTCGCGCATGTTTGCTGTACGTTATGACGTTATTGTTACTATTTGTTATTTTGTCGTTCGTTACTATACTGTGGGCCACTTTGGACTTTTATTTGCGTTTCTTGATGCCCGTCTCTCCATACTGGGTGCTTAACTGTCTAACCTGATTACATTCATACTAAGAATGTGTCGAGGGGACATGAGCGAAAATCATCGACAACCACGAGCTGTTGCTAACCTGGTATTCTGGATACACAGTCCAGTATGCTCGTCATCTTTTCCCTCGGCTTGAATCCCACATGCAGCCCCACTGTTACATATCTCAAGCAGCCCATCTATGTAATTTTAGATTCCATTTGTTTTAACTAAGATTACTTCGACCCTGCCGCGCACAGGCATGTCTCATTATGCCGCCTCGCGTCAAATCTGTCACCATTATAAGTCCGGCATCATCAGTTACAGCATACTGTGCTGTTTCGTATTACCTTGAGCTTATTAACGAAATGCACGCGTGCCAATTGCATTTGGTCACCACTCGTTACTTGTTTCATTATTGTCTTTTCCATACTAGGTCCGTGGTAATGTCACCCTCAGTTTGGATCGGCCAGATAACTCTTCGGAGAACTCGTCCGACTCGGATACCTCTGAAATCGATAAACCTGTGAAAGGATCAGCGGTGGATGTTGAAAACGCGGAGTCTACTATTTTGGATGGAACTGTGCTCCCCGAATCGGAGCTCCAACGGCGAGCTGATGTTGTGCGCCAACTTCTTTCCGAGGAGATAAGCAGCGGAGGTGGTCCGCTTGGATCACTGAATCACTATAAAGTTCGTGGATCGGAATCTGATTGGGCCAAGGCCATTGTGGGCCATGGCTCCGCCCTAGAATCGCTTAATGTCGTTGTACCCAAATCCAAGAAGCCTGATGGAAAAAAGTGAGTAGCCCCGATTTTTGTATGGTATGCCCAACGAAACGGTTTGATTTAAATCTGAACAGTCATCTTCGTGTGTTTGCTTGGCGTTACCTCTTAATTTTAGAGCACCATTATCATGTCACCAGATCTACTGCGTTTTGCCCTTTTGCCTTACTGAGATGCCTCTTACATTCCATTTGCCCCACCATCATTAGCCCTTCCTTCGATTTATTGCTAACCTAGTGAACTTCGGTAAATTTGCTCTGCCACTGGAAGTGTGCGATCTCCTTGGAACTTAACTAGCGTGCCCAGTAGTCCCTTTGGCTCATCTTGGCGCATTTCGACTACATTAACATTGTACTATTATCCCTTCATAGTTTGGGGTTTCATGCTTTTTTATGGAACGTCTTGTCCTACCATACACTTGAGTACTGTTCGCAGTTGAGCATTCGTCGCACGTCCCATTCCACCTCGTTGTCGTAAGATTCTGTTTGAAAGATTCATCAAGAAAACTGGTGGAATTCCTTAATTTCCTGAACACATCTCAGCATAGTTTCCTCGATAGAGGTACCTACACGACTTGCCAGCTCCACTACCTTAATTACACTTCAGAATCCATAGGCCCCAGTTTCTGCCACCATAATATTACTTTTAGACCTAAAAGAAGCATTTGACCGTGTATCACGCAAACGGTTATTGAAAAAGGATGAATATTTTGGAATTTCAAACTCGCTTTTAAGCAATCGGTTTCAGCTAGTCACCTTGGGTGACGACCACTTTTCAACGCTCAATTAGCAATGGCGTCATACAAGCAACTGTACTTGGTCCTTTGCTTTTTCCCTTCGACATCAATGATATTGGTATGTCCGCCAAAATGACGGACTCTTTCTACTTGCTGATGATACCAAGATTGTCTGTAAACTTCGGCGTGATGCGATTCAGAGCACACTGCGTTTAATTCAACATGACCTTATCTCTCTTGAGGATTGGCCCGAAACGTGGCTGATAACACCACCGACTAACAAATCAAGCATTACGTCATGTGGTTACTCGATCTCCGAAGGGTCAGTTAAACTTAACAACAACGGTGCTCTCGGAATCAGGTATTCCTTCGACTTCGCTTTTCTGAAATAACCCAAGACCAAATAGCTCACGCCAGACAGTTCGTGGCTATGCCACAAAATGCATACAATCCCTGCCAAACTGATGTTATTTAAAATTCTCACTCGTCCTCTTCTCGACTGTAACTTCATCTGTGGCGGGGTGCGGAAGAAGCAGCGAGTAGGTTAGTTAAATAGGCAAGTTTCAGCGCTTGGTAAGCGCTGATTCCGATTACACGTGCTAATTTTGGCAGATGTGACACATGTGCTGCATTGTCGCTACAGTTGGTCTGTACTTGTGCCTGTGGGTGCACGTGGTCGCACTTTCGATGGCATTTGCCGGTTGATATCCTAGTTATAGGTGATGTTGATGTGAAGGTTGACAAGATGCCTGCCTGCGGAACACTGCTACCTAGATTACCGGCTCTGGGAGACTACCAATTGTTGGTGGGGAAGACTGGGTGCACAGTCTTCGTGACGGTGCTAGACTCAAGGAGTGGTTCCATGCATCCAGCGTGGAATGACCTACATCTGGTATGCATGTTTCCCTTGTTCAAATGAATACCGTGCTAGAGGAATGTTGACCGGCTCCGGATCAATCGTGCCTCCCAATCTCTTATTCCTCTGGGTTTGCACTAGATATGAGGTGTGTGGGTGGAGCTGTGAGTGGTGCAGCGCAAACCACCCATAGTCCCTTACTAGGCGCAGTCGTCCGGTGGCTGTTCGCGGTCACAGAGACAGACAAATCAAATAATGGGTATCGCAAACCATATATATGACGACCAATCATCATTGTCGTTCCATTTCTCTGTCTGGAAACTAAGCAGGTTTAAATTGCGTCGGTGATTGCCATGTGATCTTTCAAGGCCACATCTGCGTAACGGGGCGAGGACCTATCTGTTTAGCGATCAAGAGTGGGGCTTATAACATCGTAATGCAGCCGATGCCTTTGTTTAGATCGAAGGTACGACTGTTGTGCATGGGATTTAACAGAGGACGCACCTACCTTAACCGACATTTCTTACAGAGTATCGCCCATTTTTGGTGGGAATACCCAGTGATTAATGATGAAGTATGTTATTTGTCAACAACTTCAGACACGGCAAGTAACCAGCCTACATCAGATTAGCTATGTGCTTCGCAATTCTGCTGACCATTTGCTTACGCATGCTGTCTAACAGCGCTCCATTTAATTGATTAATGGCCCTAGATCGCTGTGCAATGACAAAACACTAGGACATCGCACGATTGTGTGAAATTTGGTTGGCTTAATGTATGCAACTCTGATAGACTGGGGTTCCAGAGTCTGCTATCTGTAAGGATGCAGTCCCTCCGCCCACTGTACTTCTGCGTCCTGTATTTTACATAGGTATTTTAGTTTTCTTTCTGTATCATTTTCGCATTTCCTCTTACTTGTCCTATTATTTTATGTAAAGCCACGACGAGAGTCTTCAAAACTGAATCCTGCACACCGCGGTGCTTGGACCATTGTTGAACAACGGAAGTGCACTCGAGTAGCGCCTAATCGTCGCTTCTCCTTCTGCCATCAACACTTTTCTGTCATTTGAATCTGCAACTTTCATCGTTATAACCAAGTTACTTCAACTGCATCGTAGTGTCTTTCCATTCATATGGAATTGTATTGACCACTATCACTGGTCACCAGTGTCACTCCCGAAAATGTGCTAACGGCGGACGATGGGGATTTGTTCCAAATCGCGAGTCTTGCAACTCAGTAATCACCGCACGTATGAAATGTTTGCAATCACTTTTTCAGCCTTCGCTTTCTCTACTTCGTTTCTTTCCTTTCACTAGGAAAAATCGTTTATCTCTTGAGGAGGAGTTACCACGCAAGAGAAAGAATATTGTGAAGCTCAAGAAGGCAAAAGACACACCTCGTTGATAGTATTTTAATGAAACAACTGGCATGTAAATAAATCGATCTTTTTCTTGTTTTGTTGCTCTGCCTTCATCAATCGGTTTGTGGATTTTTTATCGATATTTTACCACCTTTGTTTATTCATATTCCTTCGGGCGTCGAATTCCTCATTTGGCATTTGGTGTGATGAAGGGGATTTTTGGCTCTCAGGTTCAGTATTAAGACGCGTTTAACTATTAACATTTGAATTGATGTAGTACCGCCCGACGGGGCATTGAAAACATAGTTAAACTAGGCATTCGTTGAAAATGCAGTTAGCTCGGTACTTTCTGATCTGACTTAGTGCTAGCTATTAAGACGCATTTCGGCTCCATCACTCCTCCGATGAGGCACAATGGAGAAACCTGGACTCCATAGAGGGCATTGAATCGTTTCACGAACACTAGGCGTTGACACGCCGAATTACCGGAAAATGAACTACACTATGTAGGACAATCCCAATGCGGCTAATTACTGTTATCTTTAGACTCAGGAGCAAGGGCAATACCTCATGGAGTCTGATAAGTGACATGGAAATTAGTTCTATTAGTCACGCACCTCGTTGGAGGACCTTAAGCAGAGTGGGATACACATGGTTTGAAGACATTCCCTACGAGGTAAACCCTCCTTGTAACTGATGAAGATCGCGCTGAATTGCTCCAGATATCCACGTCACTTCATCGGTGAACACTGATGATAGTACGCGCTTTTCCGTTAGGTCACTTACGGAAATGGCCAACCACAGTCAAAGAACTGAAATTTGCAGAACACTTCCAGGGACACGTAAAAAGCTGCCTTCAGCGAACACACTTTTATTCATGTCCAGAAATACAGTCATATTGAAGAAACGACCAGATGTTTCTCATTTAATGGTCAACATCATAGCAATTCGTAATGTCAACGAGCTACATATTCAATTTTTAGCCCCTGTCTACTACTTTAGCATCGTCAGTATTTTTGCTGCTGTTTTACTAGCGCGTGATCAGGTATAATGAGATAACAGGAATAAAAAAGGGGAAAAGAGTGCATCTAATAGTGTTCCGAGTAGGTAACACCGCTCATTCACAAGTAGAGAGCTGTCGTGTGAGAGCAAGGAGGCACTGACTAGGTATCTCTATGCGGTTTTTGTAGTCCTGCGCCATATTCGGCCTCAGTTTAAATAAGTACTCCGACTGGGACACGATAGAAAACGCGAGCAACATCTTGTGAAGTCTCAGCCTAAGTACAGAGTGGATCGCATAGATCTTAGTCTGGCAGATGAGTAGAATGAACACCCGGATTTATCGCCATAGTCTTCAGTCGCCGCTGCCGTCTCAGCCATTGAGTCTCTCGAACATGTACCATACTAGATCCGATAAACAACAACTTGGGCAAATGGTTGGCAAACGAACGTAGCACGCACCTGAAGCAGTGCAACATGTTCAGCCTTACTTGTTGATCGTAAGGAATTATCTGACCATCAGCGCCTTGCACATAACATAGTTGTGAGCAAGTTGGTAATACACGACACAAGCAGTGCTCTGCAGTTTATGGTCACCAGAGATTAGCCAGAAGTGAGAAACATCTCATTGGTTGTGCTTCAGTACAACTGGATTAGGTGGTCATGAAAGAGTAGGCGCTCAAGCGAATGGGTGGTGATGCGATCGAGTCGCAGACGTGTTATCTCAACCTGGGGAGTGCAGCTAGGTATGAAATCGCTCGTGAAGTGCGATTTAGCCAGTATTGTAGTTTGGTGTTAATATGCATCACAAATGAAAGGGGAAGCTAAGCAAATGGAGACGAAACAAAGAAACAAATTCCGCCGGTATCGAGTCTTGGTCGTGACAACAAGGCAATCGACTTTGAACGAACCTACGTGCTAATCGCTCATCCGTGAACAAGTTTTTTCGCTATTTCTCAGCTGCATTTTGTCACACAAACATGTTCCCACTCACTCGACCTAGCTTCATCAGCGTTTTCTAGTGCACTTTTATCTTCACATCGCGGCTTTCGCACCGTTCATGCAATCGAGGAGTTTTCCGAATCATGAACCACACAGCAATATTTTTGGTCTCAAACGAAAGCCAACTTCGTGTTTTATCCGATGAGCTATCAACTTCCGTACATCAATGTAGCGATCCTACACTTTGCGTCGGTATCCCTCAGTCTCTGCTTACTGCGTGAACGGTCCAGCCACTTAAAACTGCCTCTCTAGCGCCAGGCGCACAGAACGTGAGAACCTTGAACATGCAACCAATTCAGCGCACAAACGACTCGCAGAGAACCATTGGCGCTCGGGCGTTGTTCGGAATAGCTTCGGTCGACGCAGCGGATTGTGGCGACCATTCAAAAGCCCATGTTACCACAGCCAGATCGATGATAGTTTATGGTTTTCTTTCATGCTCAGTAGCTTAAGCTGCTGGCTATTTGGCATCTGCCTCTATCTTTCATGG